TGATCAAACATGCTAGAACAGTATTTCTTAATACAATTACAGCTCTTCTTAATCACTGTCTTATATCTGGTCAAATTCCAAACCAATAAAAAGAAGGAAAAATCTTTCTCATCTCTAAAAAACCTATCTTTGATGGCAACTTAACTAATACCAGACTTATTAGTTTACTTGAACATATTAAAAAACTCTATACCAAACTTCTCACCAACTGACTTAACCATATCTTTACCTATCACAAAATTTTGTCACCTTTTAACTATATAGCTTTACCTGGTAACAGTACAACTATTCCTATACATATACTTAATAACATTATTGAAGAAGCTTCTTGTAACTCCAAACAACTCTGGCTCTTATTTCAGAACATAAGCAATGCTTATGATTCTGTAAACCTTACACTCTTTACCAAATCTTTATTATGCCTACATATGCCATCTAATCTTATCAATATTCTTACTAATTTGCTTACCAATCGACAAAATCAAGTCATTACAAATTTAGGTCTTACCAACTCCTACAATGTTAAAAATGGTATCGATCAAGAAGAAACTATAACCCCATTGTTCTGGAGAATTTATTACCATTTATAACTTTCTATATTTATATTTTCAAAATAATACTGATACCAAATAATTTCGACAATCAAGTGATCGTACATACGGGATCAACAAAATTTAATCAAACAACCATAATTTTGATTTTAAGAATGCCATAATAGAATGTGTGTCATATTTATAATTAATTAATGTGGTTCTTCAACAAAAAACCATGGTATTAAAATTGCCGATGCTGTGTGCAAGTTTTTCATAATGAGAAGTTTATTTGTTATTAGCAATATTTTATCGGAATATCTTAAATAAAAAATATATATATGTATATATACGTACATATGTTCTGACGACCAATTTTATATAACTGATCAAGAATTTGACTGTCAAATTTTTGTTTGATTGGCCGGGGACTATTAACAATGCACTAGTTATTAATGCATTAGTTCTATGCAAAGGGGCTGAAAAATCAAGATTTCCTGCATTTTATTGAGGTGAATGACTTGGAAATTTAAAGCCGCTAGTTTATACATGATCTCTATATAAGGATTAGAATGTCTAGGAATCCGCGGTGGCTGAATGTGCGCAGAAATCCTCTCTTGTCCTGCTGTCGAATAATAATCTATTTGTGGGTACAGTCTATTGTGCCTAAAATTAGATTTTCGGTTTGTTTTGCTTTTATTTTGTTTCTAAAGCATTATTTATACGTCGACGCAGGAAATCGCAGCAGAATTTTTTCAGTTAGAGCAGTAAAATTTTGAACACTCTATTCCTGCACTGTACTTATTATTAAGTAAATAATATATAAAACAGCTCGACTAAAGATAATCAAGATTGAAATAATTATTTTGACTTTATAATTAAAAAAAATGGAAAAGACTACCGACAAGATTCCAACAATTTTAATTGTTGGAGCAGGTATAGGTGGACTTAGTTTTTATCATTCAGTTCGAAAAAACCTTGGACAAAAATTTAAAGTTAAAATATTCGAACGTGAGACTAGTCCTCAAGGTTCATTTTTAAATATTAATTATTTATTGAAAAAAAAGACATTTAACTAATTACTTTTTCATCTTATTTAAATAGATCGATGGCAAGGTTATAATTTATTTATTAATAGGAAAGGGATCACTTCTTTATTCTATTGTACACCAGTAGAAGTTCAAGCACGTCTTCCTGAAGCCATGCCAGATCCAATCCCTAAGGAGAAACATTCTATAACGATTGTCGACCATGTTGGAAGATGTCTGCTTAGTCTACCACAATATAAAGCTAAGAACGTTTATGAAATAGAAAGTCTTAAGCATGATTTCGCCGGTATAGTTACATATCGTAATATATTGAGAGATGTTTTATTAGAAGGTGTTGATATTCAGTGGGGTAAAAAATGTGTTGGATACGAAGAAAGTGATGATGGAGTTTGGGTATTGTTCGAAGATGGAACAAGAGAATTTGGAGATTTATTAATTGGTGCAGACGGAATTAATTCACCAAGTATGTTCATATCTACCTCTTAACATATCATAAATGATTTAATTTACCTAATAAAATTAATAATACTATTTTTATTGTATGTAGTTCGAAAACAAAAGGTTCCTGACTTGGAAATTTTTGATCTTGGTGTAGCAGGTGTCGATGTAGATGTTGCGATATCAAAGGATTTGGCCGAACGATTGATGTCCATATATGGAAATTCATTATTACAGCAATCAATTGGTCGAAACGGAGATTCATCTTTTTCAATTATGCGCTTTATACCAATCGATCAATTAGACGTACCAAGATATAGGATTACCTTTAGTTATAATTACCCGACAAATCTCGATATTAAAGATAATATATTGATTGACGATAATGACCCAAACTCAGTTATAAAACATACAATTTCAAGAATTAAACAATCACGTCCACCTTGTGAGTTAACAGATCTAATGATTGAAATATTTTCGTTGGTTCCGTTTTCTCATCCGGGTGAAAAGCATCCATTTAGAACATATAACCCTCCACGGCGTCGTCAACTTCGTGATATTAATCCATTATCTGTCCCACCTTGGAATGATGATAGAATCGTTTTGTTAGGTGATGCTGCTCATGCAATGACTCCACGATTAGGATTAGGTTTGTGATTATTAAAACGTCTTTATAAATAAAATTTAATTAATACTTATTTTAATATAATATATATTTTAAGGTGTAAATAATGCATTACAGGACGCCGACCTGTTGACCAAGGAATTACTTAATTATGAGAATAATAATTTAATCTCGTGCATTCGACGATACAACGAACAAATGCGGGTTCGATCATCTAAAGATGTTATTGCATCACGTAACACGGTACTAAGGCAACTAAATCCGATTGGAAATTTTGGGCTATTTATTAGATATCTTATTTATAAAATCAACAACTTTTTATTTAACGTTATTATATTTATTAAAACCCGTACTTAACCTATTTTCCGGAATATATTAAACTGATGCAAAAGTTTACGTTTTTTGATTGGCTTCTTTATTAATTTTGTAGTTGTATTAATAAATTTTGAAATTCATGCCTATCTATATATGTATCTATATTTGTGCTTTAGCATAAAGGAGACCTATATAATTATAAATTAGAATATTTAAATTTACTATGTAAACATTCCATTTTCATTTTTCACCCCTCTTTGTAAACCGCTGAATTAAATTGGTCTCGCCTAAGTGAATTTTTTTCAACAATTCTTTAGCTTATATAATTTTAAAATGAATACAACAATATTATAAATATCTTAATATAGGTTTATATGTTATATTAATGTATAATATTTTTGGTATGCACATTATTTTAAGATTCAAATAGCCAAATAATTTATCGTTTATTCCAGTTTAACTTCCCAAAATCCATTTTACTAGCAGGACAGAAATAGGTCAGTTAGTTCAGTGTCATTTCAACGAAAATCAATTAGCCGATAAGTTTATTTTACTGATAGCTCATTTCATCAACAGATTTTTATTAAAAATTGCATTAATTCTAAACCTCATCCTAACGATAATGACCAGAATTACTTTATTGGTGAAAATAACTGTCGGTGAAATACACTGTCAGTGAAATAAACGTGTTGGTTAATTGATATTCGGTGAAATGACACTGACCTATTTCTGTCCTGCAAGTAAAATGGATAATCGGTATTACGATTTCAGTTAAATGGATTTCGGAAAAATGAGCTTTGGGAAAGTGAGTAACAACCTTTTTGGGTTGATCTCATAAAATAAGGGAGGATTCAAAGTTAACGTGCAGGAATCTAATTTCGGCAGAAATAGATGATGTATTTATTTTCAAATGAGGGATGTGACAGGAGGAACCGTCGATGTTACACGACTGATTCTTCACTCGTATTGTAAAATAAGTAGCTACGCGACGTTGTCACGCAAAACCAGGAACGGAAGATGGATTTTCAGATCGAGTTGCAGATGAAACTGCTTTCGTCATAAGTTTTTTTGTTTGCTTAACTTTTATAAGTTTTATTTGCAACTTTAAATTAGATTATATGTGCAGTAGGTCGAATACTAACTATGTTATTTAGGTGGATTTTATATGCAATTCAGATAGATTAGTATTAGTATGGTATAGATGTAGCACTCTTGCATGTATGTGGTTTTTTTAAAATAAATTATTTACTTTTGTTGTTATTTTATTTCATGTAACTGGTAAATAAATTATTTATACTATATTAATCCCATCATATTTTAGTTGGCAAATTTCATAATTGATTTGTTAAGTACCTGGGTATTTTACATTCACAAGTGCAATTAATCCGTCCTTAGTATCCGAGATACTTTATATTCTAGGCCTCCGAAAATCATGAGGAATATTATAAAAGGGGTCTTTTAGTCTACGCTGTACGGTGATTTGCGATTAACGTAACTGTAAAAAGCAGAGAGTCAATAATTCGATAACAGTAAGTAGGTTAGTAAAGTGATAAATGGTTCAATTTTTAAGTGTACATTTGAAAAATACATACCTTTGAAGTATTGAACTTAGAATAACTAAAATGAATGAATACAGTTAGACGAAATTTATCATTTTCTAGATAAAATCTGTAGCATATTCTAACAGTATATAGATTAGATTAAAATTTAATTATGGCTAAATATTTATTGCAATGAGCCTCTAATTACGCAATCACTCTAAATGCACGCTTAAATCCTAGCTCAAATATATACAGTCGACTCTGGATATAACGAACCTCTACATAACGAACTCTGGATATAGTGAACTTAAAACTTTGAAATTTTTATAATAGTTCGGTATAGAAAATGTAATGAACTTTTTTTTCTTCCAGAACCGCCAGTTCGTTATAGAAAGAGTTGACTGTACTTTATCTTCATAAGTGCACTTTTTTATTATTTTCCAAGTGTCTCTTAGAAAAGTTGAGTCTTTATAAAAGTTACTTAGAGAGTTTAAACTGTAGCATAATTCTATTTATCCAATAGGATTAAGACTGGACCTCTTGTTTTTGAAACAACATTTGTATAAGTTACTAAACATCGTATTTAACATTCATAAAAATATATGAAATTATACAGACGTCTCAGTACTAACCACTTTGCTTCCATACGATATAACGATACGGTCAGAACAGCGAACAAAAACTGGTAAAATCAAAAATAATTTAATAAATGTATGACGAGGTTAAAAGCCGAGATAATAAATAGAGAAATTAATATTATTTAATAATCTAGAAAGGATATTTATCTGATCACAAACATCTAATTCGCATATTTTTTTTCAATACGTAGACAAAAAGCTTTATAGGTAAAAATCTAGAAATCATAAGTCAAAGTCACAAAATTAGAACGACCAATCGGATAAAAAAGAGACACATACTCTACGTTGTACGTTGTACAAACTCCGTTCCTGGTATGATTTTTTATATGTTGCACACCGGGTGAAGAATCAGTTCGACGGTTTTTCCTGTTGAGGGATGTATCAATTTTCCGATAAATTTGAATGATGGTTTTGGTCATTGAAAAGTCTGCTTATTTGGATCCCCATTTCATTTTCCGATTTTAAAATTTCAAAATTTCAAAATGTATCACTTATTTGTTAACTTTGAAACCCTCTATATATATATTTTTAACTCAAATTTGTTTCAGGTTAGGTTGATTTATTTAGAGTTATAATTAGAGTTATAATTAGGGTTTTGAAGGATTTGGAATGTTTTTACTTAGATCATCTCGCACCGATCAATTAGCTAGTTTTCTTAGATAATGTACTCGTAGTAGATATTAGACTCGAGTCAATTCGTAGTTTAAAAAACATAGTCATAACTCGAATTAAGTTGAGTCAAGACTATGTTTTTTAAACTACGAGTTGATCCGAGTACAGTCACTAATTCATAGGTGTAAAACGGTTCAGTATCACATCCCTGACACTAATTTTGTAGACATACATTTTACCGAAAACAATTACTGACATGTTTATTTCACCAACATTAAGTTCACCAAGTTTATTTCACCAACAGCTTATTTCATCGAAGCTCATTTCACAGACAAGTTTTTCTTTTTAAAATTTACACTAATATTAACTCTAATTCTAACTTGACCGTAAAGACAATGAGCAGAATTATTTTGTTGGTGAAATAAATTGTCAGTGAAATAGGTGTCGGTGAAATAAAACATGTTGACGAATTGTTTTCGGTATATACCAGATGAGTGTCGGTGAAGTAAACAGTGCCATATAAAATGCCATTTGTATGTTTTAGTAAAAGTTTAATATTCATTATTTTTATATTTATTAAATTAAATCTTAACCATTCTATTATTACTTTCTATTTACATAGGCTACGTAGAGATCGCACATGCAAACACCATATTGCGCTGCCAGCCATTAATACTTCATTATTATTATTAAAAATTTTTTTGAACCATTTTACGTTTCTTCTTTCTATTAAATAGGGCTCGAAATAATGATCTATGTACGGAAGTTTGTACACGTACGTACCAATTTGTCAAGATGTGTTACAATACATAGCAATTGCATTTAAAGGGCATACGTACATATGTACGTGCGTAAATGAAAGTTACTCAATGTAATACGTACATATCTTCAATGAATTAGGTAAATTACATTAACATATCCTTTCAAGAACTAAAATGTCAAACCTAAAGCAGCCAGAAAAAGTCGATAATTCATTAAATATTACTCAAATATCCAATGAAGTTGTCAAATTAAATTTAAACGATAATGAACAACATGATTTTCTTAGTGAAATTGTTAAAGAAATGTGTAATCTATATGATAAAGAAAGATTGAAAGGAAAAAGTTCCAGTTCAATTTTTGACACAATAGAACAATTTCTAGTAAAAAAGAAGCAAAATCCAGATAATATTATTAATTACTGCTTAAATAATCAATTTGATCCTATGATTTATATCATTGTTGCAAGTTGTTATTTTTATGGTAAATGGGTTAAAAAGGATAAAAATAAAGCATTCGTTTATTATCAAAAAGCTGCTAACATGGGTAATTCTCATGGAATATTTGGAGTCGGATATTGTTATGAAAATGGAATCGGTGTTGAAAAAGATGAACATAAGGCATTCATTTATTATCAGAAATCTGCAGTTAAGGGAAATTCACATGGAATGTTTAGAGTTGGATATTGTTATGATGAAGGAATTGGTGTCGAAAAGGAGGAATGTAAAGCGTTTATTTATTATCTAAAATCGGCAGAGATGGGGAATGCTAGTGGAATATGTAACGTTGGGTACTGTTATAGCAATGGAATAGGAGTTGAAACAGATGATCGTAAGGCATTCATTCATTATCAAAAATCCGCAAAGATGGGTGACGCTACTGGAACATATAATGTTGGTTATTGTTATCTTAATGGAATTGGAGTTGAAGAAGATGAACATAAGGCATTTCTTTATTATAAAAAATCCGCAGAGATGGAGATTGCTAGTGAAATGTCAAAAGTTGTAGGGTGTTAATGAAACGGGTATGACATGACATTAACAAAAAGGTCAAACATTGGTATTGAAGTAGGTTTATTTAGGAACTAATTGGTTGTACGGGGATTGTATTTATGCAAAAATTTGCATGATGAATCTTTTTAACATAGCGATTGTTCAAAAGTTTACTTATAGAATAAATTATGCATTATGTAGCGAGTACGTATCAATTATTGTGTGATTGTAACTGTACAGCAATAACTAGTGATGGGCAACGTGCGGGATACGTAGTATAATATGAATGCTG